GCCTAACGGGCCCTGTTTTAACTGAATAATCAAAGGCACAACCACGGCGAGCCCGGCAGGCCTGAGAGACCTGCACCACTCGGAGAGGACAACTGCGGTCGGCTGCCCCCTGGGGTGCCAGGTCGGCGTCTGGCCAGGTGCGTCGGGGCAGGTTCGGATGGGTAGCCGTCGGCGGAGCCAAAACAGGGCCAGCAAAGCGCCCGCGGTCACGGTGCTGCGTGGCGGGACCCGACGGTGTGCAGGGGTTGGGGCGTCATCGCCATGTACGGGAGCGCTTGTCCCCTCTCCCGTTACTGCTGTCGTCACCGCCACGCTTGCCCGCGGCCTGCCAATCGTCGCCGTCCCAGGCCTGCGACCAGGACCAGGAGTCCCAGACCCAGGGTTGGCGGGAGCTTGTGGCGTGTCCCTTGTACTGTGGGGCGCTGGTGCCCTGGTATCCTGACCACTTGTCGCGCTCCCGTTCCCATCTGGCCTGGAGCCCACGTTTGCGGTCCATCTCGTACGCATCATACCCGCAGCGCTTCCAGGCGTCAAGGAAGGCACGGCTTGTGCTTTCAGGGTTCAGCGAGGGGTCGCTCTTCGGGCCGTTGGCCCCTGCTGGGTGCCCGCGGGTGTAGGCATGCCAGATGCTGCTGAAGACTCCCCCCAGGGCCTTTTGGAAGCGGGAGATCTTGGTTGCGGGTGTTTTCGCGATCTTGTCGACTGGTGGGGATACTTTTAGTCAGCGGCCGCAGGCGAGCGCGCCAGCGGCGGGTCCAGTAGAAGCGGGGCACGCAAGGACGAATTAGCCTAAAGCGACAGACTGGTAGGGGATACGCGAAGCGTCAAGAATTAGCGACTCCCGCCTCTCCGGGGCCAAGCGCACAGGCAATATGCAACACGTTCGGGCCTCGCCGCAATCGTGGGCCATTCCTGAAGCCCCGTGGGAGCCGTCCCGGGCAGTCTGGGCCATCAAGGCCCTCGCAGAATGCGAAGGGAGGAGGCCTTGCCACTCGAGCCCCTTCACGAAAGTGATGACGGCGTTATAGTATGGATGACGTTGGGCTCTAAATCCACATCCGACGCCTCGCGAAGCAGCGTCAGTGCTTGCTGCCAAAGTCTGCCTTTCTCGCACGCGCTGATCCCAGCGCTGTAGCTGATTAAGACAAGACCGTGGACTGCCGTCAACCAATTTTTTTCGAACTGGCATGTGAGGTGATGGCAGAAATTCCGCCCACAGTCGTTCATGATGATGTCGGGAACGCTGCCCGAGCGAGCAGCGCGACGGGAGACGAAAGCAAGAAGTGAGCAGGGAGGAGCGAATAGGAGCGAGTGATGAGGGACGAAAAAGTCGTCGAGGGCTCACCGGTGGGACACTCTGGAGGCCCTCGTGGGGCCGCACGGACTGGCTTAAGGGAGATGCGAGAAGGGCGAAAGAGGGAGCTTGCAGCCAGGGGTGAGGAGTGAGAGGAGCAAGGGGCGAAGAAAGGCAGGCAAGGAGCGAAGGGCTCGGAAGAGCGGCGAAATCGCATGGCAAGGGTAAGGATCGCTTGCCTGCTTGTCTGCTCGCCTGCTATTCTGCTTGCGTAATTGGTACCCTCGTGGCCTGAGAGTTGTTGGCCGGATGGCCACCTTTCTATCTTGCTTGAGTCATTGTTTGCCCGTCCGCTCGCGACCGTTTGCTGATGGTTTGTGCTGATTGACGCAGCTATATCCGCCAGCGGGACCCCTGACACGCTGAGAAAGAGTACGATGCCACGGGCTGCCTGGTATGGCGTCTGCAGTCTTCACCCCAGGGGCTCGCTGGGACCCATCGGAGGAATCTGGGCCCCTGCGAAACCCTGTGGACGATTGTGGGGGGTCCTGGGTCCTGGGGGCATGGAGGACTCGGAAAAGTCACCCAGTCCGAAGAAACTCCTGGCCGTGCATTGTGATGGAAATGACAGTTGGTCGCAGATTCATATCCCACATCTCGCTGAGCAGCTCCAAAGCCAACCGCAGCTGCCCGCCCTTCTCGCAGGCGCTGATCCCAGCATTGTAAACGATGACATCGGGTTCCAAATCGTCGTCCTGTATCTGGCGGAGCAGTGACAATGCCTGCTGCCACTGCCCAGCTTTCTCGCACGCGCTGATCCCACCGCTGTAGGCGATCACATAGTGTGCACCCGTGGAGCAAATCCGCTGGTGCCCTGGCAATGAGTAGCGGCGGGGCCGACAGGCGGCGACAGCCTCCTGGCTGACAGACGTCGTAGGTGATGTAGCCGAGGATCCTGGCGGCCCGAAGCGGGCCCCAAGAGGGCCCTCAGAAAGCACCCGACGGATGCTACAACAGCGGGGTGCGCTGTAGTATCCGTTGGGGGTCCCCTTCGGGCTCTCTGGGAGCTCTCTTGGTGCCGTCTTCGGATACACTTGGGGCTCTAGTGGGCCATCTGCGGGCCATCTTGGGTCGTCTTGGGCGCCTCGTGGGCCGTCTTGGGGCTCTCTTGGGCCGTCTTGGGGCTCTCTCGAGCCAGCTCAGGATTCTCTTTGGAGGCCTCTTGGGCTGGCTTGGGGCGATCTGGAGGGCTGTTGGGCCGTCGTGGACGCTGCAAGGGCCCGAAAGTCGTGCATGCAGAAATGTGACGAAAAGGATATCGTAAATGATTGCACCAGGAGGCCCTGCTGGGAGTGCTCTTTGAGCGCTCTGGGGGCCTTTTGGAAAGCTTTTCGGCCGTCTGGAGGCCGTCTTGGGCTATCTTGGAGCCCTCTGACCTCTGAAGCCATGCTCGGCCGTATTGGAGGCATGTTCGGCGAGCTTGGAGGCTCTTGGACTCGCTTGGGCAGTCTGGGAGGTGCAGGCCCTCCCAGCGGGCACTCCCAGCGCCCGGCTTTGCCACTATTTTTGTACTTTCCACGCGCTGCTCCAGGTACTGTAGGATAGATCAGTGCTGACCCGTGGCCCACTAGCCACGAAATGTGTCTGAGATGGCACGTTGGGTCAGGGCGGAGGTGATGCTGAAGGCTTTCGTGAGGACGTTGGGCCCGAACTTCGCCTCTGTTAGTGCAGCCTGCAGCTGCAGGATGCTGCTGCCTGCTGCATGGAGCTGCTGGTTATGAACATTGATGTTGCTCGGCTGTTCGCTGCGGACTGCTGCTGCTCGCGAGCGATTGGAGGAGGGAGGAGGGAGGAGCGAGGAGCAAGGAGCGAGGAGTCAGGTCGAGGGGCAGGTGGGAGAAGCAAGGAGCGATTAGCGAGAAACAGGGTGCGAGTTGGGGAGGAGCGACAGCCGAGGAGAAGGAGGCGAGAAGGGATGAGGCAGAGCCGAAGAGAGAGAGGGGGGAGGCAGGCGACAGTAGCCAAGAGGCGGGGGGCTAGGGGTCAGGAGAGGAGCGAGGAGCGAGGAAGAGTGAAAAGAGAGGAGCCATGATCGAGGAGAGCGGCGAGAAGCGAGGAGAGAGCGGCCAGAAGCGAGGAGCGTGAAGTGAGGAGCAAGGAAGGCGGAGGGGGGCTTGTGGAGCGGTCAGCACACGAATGTCTCTTGGGGCCACCTTGGCGTCGCCGGTGTCTTTGGGGCGCAGTGGGATCGCTCGAGGCCCCCCGAGGGCCATGCAGCCGCCTGAAGCCGTCTCGGAGGCGCCCCGAGCCTCTCCAGGCCACTCAGGACTGCTCCAGGACGCGCCCAGGGGCGACGCACTGGAATTGCATCATTTTGGCCTGCAGGGAGCCGTCAGAGTAGGCATCGTAGGGTCTCTTGGGGACATCTTGGCGTCGTCTTGGGGCGCCTTGGGGGCGCAGTGGGACCGCCAGAGGCCCTCCGAAAGCTCTGCAGAGTCATCTGAGGCCAGCTCGGAGGCGGCCCGAGCCTCTCGGGGCCACTCAGGACTGCTCCGGGGCGCGCCCGGGTGGTGGGGGGGGTTCTGGCCTCCCTCTGTTTTCCGGAGGTTCCGACGCCTCCTCGGTGCAGGACCCATCTTGCACGCGCGGGGCTGACTCGTGGAGCACTCCACACGCAGGATCACGAGCTCGCAAGCAAGGGTGAGGACCTCCTACCTGCTCGAATGATCACGCGCTCTTCTGCTTGCGCGGTACCAGACTCTCCGGGAGCCTCTTCGAGCCTTCCTACAGCGCTTTGGGCCTCGCGGGTGCGTCGATGCTGGGATCGGTCGGCGACCTCTCGGGGCACTCTGGAAGGATCTTGGGACTTCTTGCGTATGTCCGTGTCCTTCGGTCGACCTGCCGAGCACGCGGGCTTTCCAGGGTGGCGGCCCACCCAGAAAGCGTCTGCTTCTGGAGGGCGAGCCCCACAACGTGTACTGGGATCGCTTGGGGAACTCGCAGGGTCCTCTCGAGCGACCTTTGGAGCACACTGCACATTCCAGCAGACCTGAAAAGAGGAACAAATAACGAAATCTTGAAGCCAGCCCTTTCGAAGCCTATTGGACCTATGTTGGACCCTTCTTCAGCTTCCGTGGAGCCTCTCCAGAATCTTGGGATCCCTGGGCCGAGCGGGGCCCTTCTGAAGGTCTGGGGACCGTCTTGAAGGGTCTTGGGGCTACCGTGGGGCGGCGTTGGTCCGTCTTGGAGACGTCGGAGGGCCATCTTGGAGGTCAGCTGGGGCCGACTTGAGCTCTCTTGCGGGCGTCTTGGGGTCTTGGGCCCGCCTAGAGGCTCAAGTGGGCTTCTTGGGTCATTCTTAAGCCTATGGAGCAACCTGGAGCCGAGAATGAAGCGTGCCAAAAATGCCCGAAGCCAATTATCCAGCAGGAGATTTTGGCACCCTGGCACACTGCGCGGAGCCACCTTGTAGCCTCTCAGGGGCCGCCTCAGCGCCATATTGGCACGTGTTTGGCCATCTGCGGGCCTGTGTGGTCGATGTGGGCGCCTCCTGGAGGCTGCCTTCGGCTGCCTGGTGCCCCCAGATGGCTGCCCTGGGACGTCTGGGGGCGTCCTCGGGGCGCCTGGGGGCGCGCCCGAGCCCGCCAGGCCACACGACGCCCTTCTGGCACACACTGCGCCCAGCACCGTAGGAGAGGGGATGACGTTGAGCTCCACCTTCACCTGCCCCATCTCGCACAGCAGAAACAAAGCCCACTGCCACTGCATGCCTTTCTCACACGCGCTCATCCCAGCGCTGTAGCTGACTAGGTCTGACCCGCGGCCTTCCGGCCGCGGAGTCTGCCCGCCATGGTGTGGACGTGGAAATGGAGCGTCTCCGGGGCCTCGCGGGAGGGAGGTTGGAGGGGACGGTGTGGATGGAGGAGGTGGCCGCGGGACCCTGGAGTAGGCCTCCGAGGTTACGGAATCTTTTTCGTGGGTGTCGTTGATCCACGAACGATCCGTGCGAGACGTCTGTGACCAATCTGGAGCCTGGGAGGAAGCCGTCAGAGTTGGTACCAGTATTCCGTGGACGTGGCGAGCCGACGAACGTCCTGGGCGAGGGTTGGTTGCTCCGCCCCAGGGCGTCGGAAAATGAACCTCCAAGTCTGGGTTTATTTTCCGTGGGTGTGGCCGCGCCCCGGGTCATGCATTGGGAGGGTAGAGACGGAACACCGCAGAAACGAAACCCAGAACTCCAGAGTAAGCGCCAAAACGCAGGTTGACGAAAGACGTCTCTCCAGAACCCTTTTGCCCACCTGGGACCTCGGAGAATAAACCTGGAGCGTGGTGTTTATTTTCCGTCGACGTGGCGGACCGAGGAGTGGTCTTGGGGGGCTTTGTTTTGGGCCGACCGCGGGACCATGGAGAATGGCCTCCGAGGTTACGGAGTCTTTTTCGTGGGCGTCATTGATCCACGAACGATTCAGGCGAGACGTCTCTGCCCCACATGCAGCCTGGGGGGAAGACTTCGAAGTAGGTACTGGGATTCCGTGGACGTGGCGAGCCGACGAACGTCCTGGGCGAGAGTTGGTTGCTCCGCCCCAGGGCGTCGGAAAATAAACCTCCAAGTCTGGGTTTACCGCGCCCCGGAGTTTCTGTTCCGCCTTATAAGAACCTCTTGGGGCCCTGTTGGCCTTCTTGGCGGCCTCCCGGGCGCCCGTGAGTGCCATCTTGGGCCGTCTTGGGTGCCCCTGGGGCCATCTTGGGGCCGTCTAGGACCGTCTTGGGCGGCTCCGGGGCTGTCCTCGGACCGCCTTGGGGCTCTCTTGGGTCGTTTTTGGCCCCTTTTGGGGCTGTCATGGGAGCCCCTTGGGCCGTCATGGTGCCTCAGGAGCCGTCCTGGGACCGCCTTGGGCCGTCTTGGGGCCCTCCCAGGGGCCGCCTGGGCCCACTTGTGACGATCTTGGGAGACAGTATTGTCGTCTGCTTTGAAGACGAAAAGCACTGGAATTGTCAAAATGAACGTTTTCCTTAAGGATTTGGAAGATTTTTCCTTGTTCGGGCTCTCTCGGGGCTCTTCTTGGAGCCCACTTGGAGCAATTTGGGCGCCTCTTGGGCCGTCTGGAGGCTATCTTGGGCGTCTTCGAGCGCTCTTGGACCATCTCCTCTCTTGGACCGTCTTTGGGCGTTTTGGGGTCCTCTCGGGGAGTTCCGATAGGGTCTCGGAGCGCTCTTGGGCCTTCCTGGAAGCGCGCCGAAGCCAGCTGGGGCTCGTAGGGGCCCGCAGGCCCCGCAGGGGGCGCCGGAGGAATGTGTCCGACCCCCGCCCTTCTCGCACGCGCGGGGCCCTGCAGTGTAGTAAAGAAGACTACGGCTGACCTGTGGACTACGTCAACGGCAAGCAGCCTGATCAGATCATTATCCGCCCGGCGGCCACGAAAGTTTACTTCGTAATAAAGGAAGGGGGGTCTCATTTCGGGGGGGGGGGTCTCTTCCAGGCTATCTTGGAGGGCCTGGGGGGGTCTGGGGACGATGTTTTGGAGGGTTCTCCCACGGGGGGGGTCTGAAATGGCTTGTCTTGAAGGGTCCAGACCCCCTCCCTTTTATTACGAAATCTGGAGTACCCATCGTCGCCGCATGCCAGGGTGAGAACCGCTTGTGCATTTGACGTCCTACCCGCAATCGTACCAGCGAAGTTGCTTGCCTGGTGGCCTGCATCACGTGGCCTGCTCGCCCGATTTCGTCGCTGTTTGCTGCATTACTTGCTCATCCGCTCGCTGCCGCCTACTGCCTAGAGGCGTCTGGAGGTAATATTGTTAGGAGGCCGACTTCGAGGCACGTCGGGCTACTCCGAGGCCGTGAGAGGTTATGCCAGTGCGGAAGGTGCCAGGAGCCAGGAAAAAGGAGCGAGGAGGAGTGAGGGGAGATGAGCAAGAAGCTAAGAGAGAGGGGCGATGAGCAATTGCAGTGAGCAAAGAGCAAGAAGCTCGGAGCGAATAGGAAAGAGAGAGGATTGAAGAGCGACGAGCACACGGGTCTCCCAAAGGACTCGGCGCGCGCGTGGCCGAACAGTTCGCCTCCTTTTCACTAGGTCGCTTGCTTGCCCTTCTTGCACGCGCTGATCCCAGCACTGTACTCGTGGACTCCGTCCACGACATCTTTCTGGAATGGTTCTCGGAGGATCGGCGCAGAGTGCACCGAAAATCTACAAACACGGCGGCGGCTCGGGCGGCGGCAGCGAGACCGCGCCTTCGTGTCCGAGCTCTTGCAGCGCTCCAGCAGCTTGGCCCAGCGCACTGCTCGTTCACCCCCCTCCTATTGAGGACAGTTTCGAAGTCTCTCGGGGATGTGCGTCGAAGTCGAAGCCCATCTGAGGCGTCTCAGGAGCGCTCGGGGAAGGGCTCGGGAGGCCATCGGGGAAAGCCACCGAAAGCGCCGGGGAGGCTCGCAAGGATCTACAGGGAGGGCCCAAAAGAGCTTCAAGAAAATTTGAAATTCTGTAAAAATCTTTAGATAAACCGCTGTTGGGTCGGCCATCACCTCCGGGCGCGCCTTGATGGTGCGATCCAGTCGCATCACCGCCCACGGGAGGGTTTGTTCGCCATGTCCCATTCTGTTCGCCCACAGACCCTCTGGAGGCCTTCGGGCGAACAGAACGGGACAGGGCAAGGGAAATCGACGATTTCTCCCGCTCGGAGCCCTGCTGGGAAGCCTCTTGGGAGGCCTCTTGGGGCATTTTGGCCGCCGCTGGGGCCGTCTTGGCCCAATCTTCGGCGTCTTGGGCCCATCTTGGGGCGTCCCGGAGCCCTCTGGGGCCGTCTTGGGGGCCTCTGGAGGCCCTCTTGGCGCGTCTTGGGCCCATCTTGGGGCGTCCCGGGGCCCTCTGGGGCCGTCTTGGGGGGCAGTCTTGGGCTGTCTTAGGGCGTTTTGGGACCGTCTGGGGGCCCTCTTGGCCCGTCTTGAGGCCCTCTTGCGGGCCTCGTCGGTGGTCTTGGAGCGGTCTTGGGGACCTCTTGGGCCGTCTTGGAGCGCAGGGACGGCGAAAAGGGAGAATGCGTAAAACATAGAAAAACACAGTGGAAATCTACGATTTCTCCCGCTCGGGGCCCTGCTGGGAAGCCTCTTGGGAGGCCTCTTGGGGCATTTTGGCCGCCTCTGGGGCCGTCTTGGCCCAATCTTCGGCGGCTTGGGCCCATCTTGGGGCGTCCCAGAGCCCTCTGGGGCCGTCTTGGGGGCCTCTTGGGGCCCTCTTGGCGCGTCTTGGCCCTATCTTGGGGCGTCCCGGGGCCCTCTGGGGCCGTCTTGGGGGGCCGTCTTGGGCTATCTTGGGGCGTCTTGGGACCGTCTGGGGGCCCTCTTGGCCCGTCTTGAGGCCCTCTTGCGGGCCTCGTCGGTGGTCTTGCAGCGGTCTTGGGGGCCTCTTGGGCCGTCTTGGAGCGCAGGGACGGCGAAAAGGGGAGAATGCAAAAAACATCGAAAAACACACTGGAAATCGGCGATTTCTCCGGCTCGGAGCCCTGCTGGGAAGCCTCTTGGGAGGCCTCTTGGGGCATTTTGGCCGCCTCTGGGGCCGTCTTGGCCCAAGCTTCGGCGTTTTGGGCCCATCTTGGGGCGTCCCGGAGCCTTCTGGGGCCGTCTTGGGGGCCTCTGGAGGCCCTCTTGGCGCGTCTTGGGCCCATCTTGGGGCGTCCCGGGGCCCTCTGGGGCCGTCTTGGGCCTCTTGGGGCCCTCTTGGCGTGTCTTGGGCCTGCTACGCTTTTTGACCAGAATCGCCCTTCTCGCACGCGCGGGTCCCTGCATTGTAGTATAGACTAGGGCTGACCCGCGGCCTCTGGCCGCGGAATATGCCTGCCCTGGCGTGCACGTGGAAGTGGAGCGTCTCTGGGGCCTCGCGGGTAAGGGGAGGTTGGAGGGGAGAAGGTGGGCGAGGGATGCAGGCAAGCAGGCCTGAAGACAGGAACGCGGTGGTGGAGGCGGTGTCAGTGGAAGCACACCCATGTAGGCATGACATGGTGTGGACAGAAGCTGTTTTTGACGCCGCAGTCTGTATTCATCATAGCTTCTGCGGGGAGGTTAGCCGTGAGAAGTTGATCTGCTCTTCGCCAGGGCCGAATGATAATTTCATATGGCAATGTGGTAACAATGGGACCAGCGAGCGCGGCCCAAGAGGCCCGCAAGAGGGCGGCGAGACGGAACTCCCTAAGAAGGGTCCCATTGCGAGGACACGAATCGACTTTTCGAGCGCACTTCCCCAAGACGTCCCCAAATAGAGCAAATATGGCTCCCAGAGGGTCCAAGAAGCATCCAAAACGATGCTGGAAGTTCGACGCTCCTCAAGAGAGAAGCATCCAAGGCCTATCGGGGGCCGCTTGGGGGCCTCTTTTCGTCGTCCTGGGGGTGGATATCTCGGAGCCCTCTTTGGCAGTCTTGAGTGCATCTTGGGCCGTTTTGGGGCGATGTGGTGCCGTCTGAGGCGCCTCTCGGACCGCGTTGGAACAATATTGGGGCCATCTTGGGCCAATAGTGGGCGCTGCTGGGGCTGTCTTTGGTGTTTCTTGGGCCGTCTCGGGCGCCTCTGGAGCCGTCCTGGACGGCCCAGAGACAGTCTTGGAGACTGTCCAAACGGAAAGGCTTGGAGACGGGGCGGCGGGGGCCAGTACAGCCGTCTTGGAGACGGGGCGGTGGAGCCGTCTTGGGCCGTTATTAACTGCTCTTGGGGCGGGGGTCGGCGCGGGGGGAGCGTAGGCATCCGAGTCGGTCGTTGAGGCCTGGTCCTCGTCATCGCTGCCTCGCACAGCTGCGCCTTCGGGTACTCGACAGGCCTGAAGAGGGTCAAAGGGACAGTGGGAGCGATGCCGCTTCCCGATGCTTCCCCTGGTGCGTCGCGTGCAAGGGGAGGTGCCTCGTCTCCTTCATCTTCTACCCTGGGCATGCGACTGATCGCCACAAGTACATTGTCAAGAGACGCAGCGCTCCTTGATTCTTGCCCATGTGGGCGACGGATCGCCGCAAGAACTAATGGAAGAGGGGCCTCACGACTCTCCGCGGGGTGTGGCGGGTGGACTGGAAGGTCGTTACGATCACGATTCCGTCGCGACGAAGATCTGCTCGGACGGGGGCGCCAATCAAGCATCACTCCGCCGTCCCCTTGGGTCGGGGACAAAGCGGCTATCTCCCTGAGCCCGCGTCTCCCCTCGTGGCCTCTCACCGTTTTCGAAGGGGGGGCTCTCGAGGGGAAGGCCCCACTGGTTTTGAATCCCGCGGCCCAGCAGCCGATTCCCGTCTCAGGCCAGCTTCCTCGTCATTAAGTCCGCCCGCCAGCTCGGCGGCAGCACGTTCCTGCTCGGCATACGAAGGCATCCGTAGCTCAGGGGTGCGTCGCTGGGAAGCTTCCTGCACGGCTCTGCCGCGTGGCGTGACTCGAAGCGCGGCGCGGCCACCAGCTTCCGCGATGGTGCGCGCGGGATTTCAGGGACCGTGGCCATCCGAGGGTGCGCCATCGAGGTTGCCGTTGCGTTGTGTCTCGGCACTGCCGTGTGTCCCCCAGGCCTGGGCGGGATTGAGTGGGGCGGTTGGGGTGATGTCGTCGTCTGGTAACTCCCCAGGGACGCGACAGGGCGGAGCGCGCGCACTGTTCGCGTCGTCTTCTTCCCTGGGTGGGCGACTGATCGTCGCAAGCACACTGATAAGAGATGGGGCGTCCCTGGGCTCCTCCCCAGGCTGACGTCTGACGTTCGCAAAGCCAGAGAAGGGAGGGGACTCTTGGTCGGGTGTGCGACTGGACATCGCACCTGCATATGGTGCACGTTCTTCCCGAGGTTGGCGACTGATCCTCGCAAGCACATCATCACTAGACAAAGAGATAAGGGGGAGTGTCATCGCCACCTGACGCGTGGCTCACGATCTGTGTTGGCGCATTCACAGCCTCCCCCATCCTGTCAGCGCGATCCGATGCTGGATCCTCCGAGCGGGGGGCGTGTGTGGCCGAGGCAGGCCCGACTCCTGGGCTCGCGCCCGAGCGATCGCATACGCTCACGAGGGATACGAGGCTTCGAATGTCAGCAGCCAGCGCAAGGGATCCCAAGCCTCGCACTAACCCTTCAAATTCGTCCCCAACATCGGTCCCCAGGGTACTGTGGCGGAGTCCGTGTGTCTCATCCTCCATCCCCAAGCGCCTAAAGCCGAGGCGATCTCAGGAGAGGAAGAGCAGCCGGCGGCTCGAGTGCCGATGGCGCCCGCGGCGGCGCGGCCCGCCCGTGCGCGCGGCCGGCACGCCCGCGCGCAGCGTACAGGCGCCCCCTCGAGCCCTGACCCCAGGGGGAGGAACACCCCCAGGAGATGGCTTGAGCCAGAGGACTACGGAGGGTTGGGGGGATACTTTTTGGTCAACAGGCTCGCGAGGCGGGTCGAAAGCCGTCCGAACACTAGTCGGGCCGCGACCTGTTGGGGGGATACTTTTTCAGTCACCGGCCGCGGGCGAGAGCGCCGGCGGCGAGTCAGGTCAAAGCGGGCTACGCCGAGACGAATTGGCAAGGGGAACGCGGGAAAAACAAACAGAGCGACGGGCGAGGCGACAACTAAGCGCGGCCGAGGCCTCAGAAGGGGGGGCTGCTGGGACAGAGCTGAGGAGAACTCCGGTTCGGGGGACACGCGAAGCGTGAAGAATCTGGCCTTGGGGCCCTTCTGGGGGCCTCGTGGAGCCATCTTGGATCGTCTTGCGTTGGGCTGTCTGAAGGCCATGTTAGGCGACATCCTGGACCGTCTAGAGGCGGCTCCGGACATCTTGGGCCTTCTCGGGGCCCTCGTGGGCCGTCTTGGACGCCAGGCCCGACTTTGCCCCTTTTGATGATCCAACCAGCCCTCTGGGCGAAATGGGGAACCCTCCCCCTCCCCCTCATGAGGTTGTTTGGGAGGTTCCGCGAGGTGTCGGAGGCTCCTTTTTTGGCCAGTGGGAGGGCCGACTTCTGGCACCACTGACGAGGATATTGGCCCCCGAGGGGAAGACGAACATCGAGGACCCCCCCCTCTTTAACCGACCGCCTCCAAGATGGCCCCAAGAGGCCCTCCAGGGCTCCCAAGAGGCCGCCAAGAGGGTCCCACGAGCACCCCAAGAGGCCACAAGAGGGCTCCAAGAGGCCTCCGAGAGGCCCCCAAGAGGCCCCCGAGTGGCCCCCAAACGGCCTCAAAGAGCCGAAGATGACCTCCAAGATGGCTCAAGATAATCCAAGCTGGCTCAAGATGGTCACAAGATGCCCCAAGACCGCTCCAAGGCGGCTCAAGATGGCTACGGAGCCTCCCCAAGATGCCGCCAAGAGGCCGACATCCTTCAAAAACCTAAATAAAGTAAATGAAGTTGGCCTTCTCGCCGTTTTGCTTTCGATAGCCTTCCGAGACCTGAAGATGGCTCGAAGATGGCCCAAGAAAGCCCCAAGAGAGGCCCGAGAGAGCACCAAGACGGCCCCAAGAGCGCCCAAGAGCGCTCTAAGAGCGCTCCAAGGTGGGCTCAAGAGGCGATTCTGGGAGCTCCCGAGGGGGGAAAATAATCCCACCAGCCCTTTGGGCGACAGGTGGTCTAAGGGTGATCTCTTTTGTCTTCCACAGCCCCTTTTCACTTCGGGGAGGGCAATCCTCCCCCCTCCCCTCCCTGAGGTTTTTTCGAAGTTTCGCGAGGTGTCGGAGGCTCCTTTTTCGGCCAGTCGGAGGGCCAATGTTTGACACCCCATCACAAGGATCGGTGACCCCGAGTGGGGGACGCACATCGAGGACCCCCCCTCGTCTGACCGACCGCCTCCAAGATGGCCCCAAGAGGCCCCCAAGAGGGTCCCACGAGCGCCCCAGCAGGCCCAAAGAGGGCTCCAAGAGGCCCCCCGAGAGGCCCCCAAGAGGCCCCCGAGCGGCCTCAGAGAGCCCAAGATGACCTCCAAAATGGCTCAAGATAGCCCAAGCTGGCCTCCCTCGCTGTTTGACTATACGTGTCTCTTCCTCTCTCCCCCCGTCAGCTCTCATGGGCATCGATTCTGGATGGGCTGGTGGGGGCACGCGAAGCGACAAGAAATTGACCTTCAGGCACGCGGTTCCCCCGGCATCGTAGTATAGAAGGCGTCCGTCTGCAATTTCACCTCACACATGTCGCTTAGCAGCGCTAAAGCCCACTGCCATTGCTCGCCCTTCTCGCACGCGCTGATCACAGCGTTGTTGCTGACTAGAATATACCCGTGGGTGGAATCAACGAATAGTTGTCTTATTGCGGTTTGGTTGTTCCGAGTAGCACACAAGGGCTAGGATGAAGCGCAAACGGCGGATAGGCTGGCCTCTCGTGAACGGTGCCTGAAGATGTGCTGGAGGGCTCCTCATCCCCTCCTGCTATCGCTCCTCTTGCCTCAACTGTTGGCTGCTTGTACTGCTGTTTGCTTCTGCTTTCTGCTATTTCATGTTGTTTCCTACGGCCGTTTGGGGTGCGAACGGCCTGGACTCCGTCAGAGGCACTGACACCGTCACTCGGCAGGTGCGGCTCTCGCACGCGCTGCTCGCGAAATTGCAGAACAGACTCGTGCCACTTGTATGACCCCGCGGAAGATCCACTGCTGGCAGGGCGAAGCCGCCTGTGCCGATGTCCAGACAAGTCTCTGGGGGGGGGGGTGGACTGCCTTGGGGCCTCCAGGCAACGTTCTGGTACGTCTTTGGAGGTTCCGGACTTTCGGGCAGTGTGGAAAGTTCTTAGAGTCGTACTGGAAACCAGCCGGGGCCAGCTTTGATCGTCTTGGAGGAGGATGGGGGGTGTGGCCCAAAACGCGACTGCCCGCGTATCTTGAGGCCGTATTGGCGTCTTTGGGGGCGTCCCATACCCCGCTTTGGACGATATGCGAACGGTCTGTGGTGTTATTGGGGCAATGTTGGGACGCCCTGGGGCCGTCTTGGAGGCGACCTGGGGCCACCTGGAGCGATCCTGGGTGCTTTTGGGGTTCTCTCGCTCGGAATCCTCGTGGACCCAGTCTGCATTCTCTGGGGCGAATTTGAAAGCACTCTGGCACTGCAATGTGAGAGCACAAAAAAAGTTAATGAATCACACATCTGCAGGGTTATCCGCAGACGAGCTGGGATTCTCATGGAGCCATCTCAAGGTTACCTGGGAGGCGCATCGGGAGATCTTGCAAACCTCGTGAGATCACCCACGTCCTTGTTGCGGGACACTTCGGCTGTCAGGCTTTATATCCTCATCCCGCATCCCGCGGAGCAGCGACAGTGCCTGCTGCCACTGCCCACCTTTCTCGCACGCGCTGATCCCGGCGCTGTAACTGATGACGTCTGGTTTCAATGTCACCTCCCACATCTCGCTCAGCAACGCCAGAGCCCGCTGCCACTGCTGGCCTTGCCTGCAAGCGCTCATCACAGCGTTGTAAACGACGACGTCGGGATGCAGTCTCGCATCCCACATCTCGTTGAGCAAGGCCAGCGCCTGCTGCCACTGCGCCTTTTTCTCGCACGCGCTGATCCCAGCGCTGTAGCTGAAGGCGTCGGGCTGCAGTCTCACCTCACACATCTCACGGAGCAGCGCCAAAGCGCACTGCCACTGCTTACCTTTCTGGTGCACGCTGATCCCAATGGTGTAGCTCTTGCAATCGGGATCCACCTTTGACTCACCCATCTCCCTAAACATCGCTAGGGCCAGCGTCAACTGCCTCCCCTTATTGCACGCGCTCATCCCAGCGTTGTAGCTGATGACGTTGAGTTTCAACTTTACCTCCCGCATCTCGGCGAGCAGCGCCAAAGACCGCTGCCACTGCCTGCCTCTCGCGCATGCGTTGACCCCAGCGTTGTAGCTCATGACGTCGGGGTCACAGTTCGCCTCCAGCATCCCTCTGAGAAGCAGCACGGCCTGCTGCCACCTCGCCGCTGTCTCGCAGGCCTGGATCCCAGCGTTGTAGCTGATGTTGTCCGGCTCCAACTTCATCTCCCACATCTCGTTCAGCAGCGACAGGGCCTGCTGCCACTGCTTGCCGTTCCCGCACGCGCTGATACAAGCGCTGTAGCTGGCCATGTCGGGAGCCAAATTCACCTCCCGCATCCCGCTGAGTAGCAACATGGCCTGCTGCCACTGTACCGCAATCTCGCAAGCTATGATCCCGGCGTTGTAATTGATGTTTCCCAGCTCCAATGTCCTCTCCCACATCTCGTTCAGCAGCGACAAGGCCTGCTGCCATTGCTTGCCGTTCCCGCACGCGCTGATAGAAGCGCTGTAAGTCGCCGTGTCGGGAACCAAATTAGCCTTCCTCATCCCGCTGAGTAGCAACATGGCCTGCTGCCACTGCGCCACCTCTGTCTCGCGCGCGGCAACGACATCGCTGCAGCTGATAGCGTCGGGCTCCAACTCTGACTCCCCCGTCGCGCTCAGCAACGACTGAGCCCGCGTCGCCCCGGGCATCGTAGTATAGAAGGCGTCCGTCTGCAATTTCACCTCACACATGTCGCTTAGCAGCGCTAAAGCCCACTGCCATTGCTCGCCCTTCTCGCACGCGCTGATCACAGCGTTGTTGCTGACTAGAATATACCCGTGGGTGGAATCAACGAATAGTTGTCTTATTGCGGTTTGGTTGTTCCGAGTAGCACACAAGGGCTAGGATGAAGCGCAAACGGCGGATAGGCTGGCCTCTCGTGAACGGTGCCTGAAGATGTGCTGGAGGGCTCCTCATCCCCTCCTGCTGTCGCTCCTCTTGCCTCAACTGTTGGCTGCTTGTACTGCTGTTTGCTTCTGCTTTCTGCTATTTCATGTTGTTTCCTACGGCCGTTTGGGGTGCGAACGGCCTGGACCCCGTCAGAGGCACTGACACCGTCACTCGGCAGGTGCGGCTCTCGCACGCGCTGCTCGCGAAATTGCAGAACAGACTCGTGCCACTTGTATGACCCCGCGGAAGATCCACTGCTGGCAGGGCGAAGCCGCCTGTGCCGATGTCCAGACAAGTCTCTGGGGGGGGGTGTGGACTGCCTTGGGGCCTCCAGGCAACGTTCTGGTACGTCTTTGGAGGTTCCGGACTTTCGGGCAGTGTGGAAAGTTCTTAGAGTCGTACTGGAAACCAGCCGGGGCCAGCTTTGATCGTCTTGGAGGAGGATGGGGGGTGTGGCCCAAAACGCGACTGCCCGCGTATCTTGAGGCCGTATTGGCGTCTTTGGGGGCGTCCCATACCCCGCTTTGGACGATATGCGAACGGTCTGTGGTGTTATTGGGGCAATGTTGGGACGCCCTGGGGCCGTCTTGGAGGCGACCTGGGGCCACCTGGAGCGATCCTGGGTGCTTTTGGGGTTCTCTCGCTCGGAATCCTCGTGGACCCAGTCTGCATTCTCTGGGGCGAATTTGAAAGCACTCTGGCACTGCAATGTGAGAGCACAAAAAAAGTTAATGAATCACACATCTGCAGGGTTATCCGCAGACGAGCTGGGATTCTCATGGAGCCATCTCAAGGTTACCTGGGGGGCGCATCGGGAGATCATGCAAACCTCGTGAGATCACCCACGTCCTTGTTGCGGGACACTTCGGCTGTCAGGCTTTATATCCTCATCCCGCATCCCGCGGAGCAGCGACAGTGCCTGCTGCCACTGCCCACCTTTCTCGCACGCGCTGATCCCGGCGCTGTAACTGATGACGTCTGGTTTCAATGTCACCTCCCACATCTCGCTCAGCAACGCCAGAGCCCGCTGCCACTGCTGGCCTTGCCCGCAAGCGCTCATCACAGCGTTGTAAACGACGACGTCGGGCTGCAGTCTCGCATCCCACATCTCGTTGAGCAAGGCCAGCGCCTGCTGCCACTGCGCCTTTTTCTCGCACGCGCTGATCCCAGCGCTGTAGCTGAAGGCGTCGGGCTGCAGTCTCACCTCACACATCTCACGGAGCAGCGCCAAAGCGCACTGCCACTGCTTACCTTTCTGGTGCACGCTGATCCCAATGGTGTAGCTCTTGCAATCGGGATCCACCTTTGACTCACCCATCTCCCTAAACATCGCTAGGGCCAGCGTCAACTGCCTCCCCTTATTGCACGCGCTCATCCCAGCGTTGTAGCTGATGACGTTGAGTTTCAACTTTACCTCCCGCATCTCGGCGAGCAGCGCCAAAGACCGCTGCCACTGCCTGCCTCTCGCGCATGCGTTGACCCCAGCGTTGTAGCTCATGACGTCGGGGTCACAGTTCGCCTCCAGCATCCCTCTGAGAAGCAGCACGGCCTGCTGCCACCTCGCCGCTGTCTCGCAGGCCTGGATCCCAGCGTTGTAGCTGATGTTGTCCGGCTCCAACTTCATCTCCCACATCTCGTTCAGCAGCGACAGGGCCTGCTGCCACTGCTTGCCGTTCCCGCACGCGCTGATACAAGCGCTGTAGCTGGCCATGTCGGGAGCCAAATTCACCTCCCGCATCCCGCTGAGTAGCAACATGGCCTGCTGCCACTGTACCGCAATCTCGCAAGCTATGATCCCGGCGTTGTAATTGATGTTTCCCAGCTCCAATGTCCTCTCCCACATCTCGTTCAGCAGCGACAAGGCCTGCTGCCATTGCTTGCCGTTCCCGCACGCGCTGATAGAAGCGCTGTAAGTCGCCGTGTCGGGAACCAAATTAGCCTTCCTCATCCCGCTGAGTAGCAACATGGCCTGCTGCCACTGCGCCACCTCTGTCTCGCGCGCGGCAACGACATCGCTGCAGCTGATAGCGTCGGGCTCCAACTCTGACTCCCCCGTCGCGCTCAGCAACGACTGAGCCCGCGTCGACTGCTGACCTATCGCAAGCGGCGATCCCAGCGCGAGAGCCGATGATGATGATGATGATGATTGGCCCAAGCTTCGCCTCGCGCATCTTGTTGAGCAGCGCGAAAGCCTGCTGTCACTGCCTGCCATGCTCGCTTGCGCTAACCCTAGCGCGTCGTAGCCAATTGCTTTGGCATTCTCTTTCGTTCCAAGATCCCTGTTGAGAGGTGAATTCACTTGCCACTCTCTGTACTTCCCACACGCGCTGCCAATCGCCATTTGGAGGCCGTTCTCTGCCACACATTAGACAGCCGCGTCGCGGAAAAGTTCCCGCAAAACAACCTGCACCGATATACGAGCAGGGACTCCAAAGCAGCAGCACGCTTGCCCAGCGACCTCAGGCTGGATTCCAAGCTTTCCTCTGCCCTTGATCGCTAAACCCTGGTGTCCAAAGCCAAAGTGGCGACGATGAGGAAGAGAACGACGACAAGGGGAAGGCGGCGGCACCCGCAGCCGGCCCCCTGTGGCTCGGCGGCCGCGACCGTGGCCGCGGCAGGGACACCTCGAGGGTTGTGGCACACGTCAGACAACTTGGCAGGCGGTCCTGCCCAGGGGCCGGCTGTGAGTTCGCCAGCTGCCAGCAGGAGGAAGAGAAGGGCTGGCGAGGGGGGGGGGAGGGTAAAGAAGGAGACGGAAGTACAGAGGAGGGGAGGGAGTGAGAGAAGAAGAGAGGAGGGGACAGAGGAGAAGAGGGCAAGCCAGGTGCACTCGCACCATGCTCCTACCCCTCCCACACATCCCTTCCCATTGCGTTGATTGTTTCTTCCATCCGCGGATGCGTGCCATAGGGGACCTGAAACTCCGAATAAAACCTATCGAGTTGTGTGCATCAGGAAAGGGGAGCTGCGTACACAGGAGGACGAGGTGGCGGATGAGCAAGAGGAAAAGGAGGATAAGGAAGGAGGAGGACGAGGACGAACAGCAGCAGCAGCAGCAGCAGCAGGAATTGGAGTGGAAGGAGTGGGAGGAGCAGGAGGACAAGGAAAAGGCGGAGGATGGAAAGGAGGGGGCGACAACGGCGACTCGGATCCAGACAAGTGGCCCGCGCTGGGGCGAGAGTGCCATTGCAAACGACGGTAGCAAAGCCTCGATCCTTACATGAGGCCCACGCTGCAGAGGGGGCGCCATTTTGGAAGGACCGAGAACGCTCGGATCGGAAAAGCGAACCCAAAAAACCAAGCTGACCCATCCTGTGAGAAAAATGCGAGCAGGAGGGGGCGCAAGAGCTCGGACCTCTTTATTTTCGTTCGTCGTCGTCGTTCGTTCGTTCGTCGTTCGTCCTCCCCCCCCCGGCCACGGAAGGATACTCCTGCAGGAAGGAGGCGAAAGCCTCCCGCCCTTCGCAGCTCCGTGGTGCAAGAGCCAGGGCCCGCGTGCCACTTGTTGTAGAGCAGAGGCTCATCCGGATCCCGAGGATTAGAGGTAAGAGTGACCTGAAGAACGTGAACGGATCCTACTCGGGCAGCCACTGGCTGCAGATCGCGCCGTATCGCCGATGCATCGTCGATGCATCGCCGATGCACCGGCTACGTCAGCGATTAATCGGAACCGCCGGCGTGGAGAAAGTCGGGCTCCACATCGAGCCGCATCACCGATGCATCGGCGATGCGGCAGGATCCAGAGAGGAGGCGGAGAATCATGAGAAACAGAGGGGAGGAGGAGGCGGAGAAGGAGGAGAGAGGAGGAGGGAGGACGGAGGAGGAAGGAGAAGGAGGGAGGAGGAGCAGGAGGGGGAAGGAACTAGGAGGGTGGAAAGAGGAGGGTTAGAGAGGAGGAAGAAGGGAAGGTGAAGGAGGGAGGAAAAACAATGTGGTGGCACTTCGGTCCCAGAGCTGTCGAGGCAGATCCCAGAGCTCTCTCCCCCTGCACGACAGACCCATGCGCCCAAGCGAATGGGGAGAGAACCTTGGAGGAGGAGGAGGAGGAGGAGGAGGAGAAGAAGAAGAAGAAAGAGGGGGAGAAGGAGGGGGAGTAAGGAGGACTTTCGCCCGTCCAGGCTGTCTGGGCTGTTGGGGCGATGCCCTCCCTGTCCGGCTGTCCGGGCTCTTTGGGCGACCTCTGGGATACGTCTGGGGCTGTCCGGCTGCCCAAGGCTGCCCCAATATGCCCGCCTGTCTGGGGTCTCCGGCTCTCCGTGCCGCCCAGGCTGCCCGGGCTGAGGTTGTCTGGGGTGCCCAGGCTGTCTGGGGGCGCAGGGGGGGGCACTGCGCTGGACTGCCGCATCACAGGCACACCGGGGGAGGACGGGAAGAAGAGAAGGAGGAGGCGGTCGAGAGCACACAAGACAAGGACAATGGCATCCGCATAGCGTAAGGGGGTATAACGTCAGAGCACCGACTCAGGCGACCTACGCGCTACTGCCTAAATCCCCCGCGATTTGTTGTGCTACAGCCCTGCCTTCTCACTAGAGCTGGCAGGGGGCATACCACGTAGCTCAAGGACCGAGCTCCGAGGTGGCCCCGTATAAGAGGCTCGCTACCTTACATCACGAGTCCCTTCGGGTCAGTGCGGGGGGGAGCGGCTGCTGCCCCTTTCCGCGTGCCCAAAGGGAAAGGACGCACGGGCTCAGCAGGGCGCCCAAGCCAAGGGGGGGAGGAGACGACATGGAATCAAGTCAAGGAGCCAAGTCATGAATCGGCTTGCGGCGCACATGGACCGTCTTTGGAGCCTCTCATGGGGACCTGTTGGGAGCCATGGATTTAGCACTGCTTTTGCATCTCGCAAGCGCTCCGCCAAGAATTCTAATTCAGATAACGTCGGGCTCCGAATCCGCATCCCGAATTTCGCGGAGCAACGACAATGCCTGCTGCCACTGCCTGCCTTTCTAGCACGCGCTGATCCCAGCGCTGTAGCTGACAATGTTTGGCTCCAACTTCGCATCCCGCACCTCTCTGAACAGTGACAATGCCTGCTGCCACTGCCTGCCTTTCTCGCATGCGGTGCTCCCAGCACTGTAGCTGACAACGTCTGGCTTCAAACTCACATCCCGCATCTCGCTAAGCAGCGACAGTGCATGCTGCCACTGCTCGCATTCCTTGCACGCGCTGATCCCAGAATTATAGCTGACGACGTTGGGCTCCACATCCGCATCCCACATTTCGCGGAGCAGCGACAATGCCTGCTGCCACTGCCTCCATTTCTCGCACGCGGTAATCCCAGCGCTGCAGCTGACAACGTTTGGCTCCAACTTCGCATCCCGCATCTGTCCGAGCAGCGACAGTGCCTGCTGCCACTGCTCGCACTCCTTGCACGCGCTGATCCCAGCATTGTAGCTGATGACGTCGGGCTCCAAATGCTTGTCCACCATTTCGCGAAGCAGCGACAATGCCTGCTGCCACTGCCCACCATTCTCGCACGCGCTGATCCTGGCGCTGTGACTAATGACGTTCCCACATCTCGCTGAGCAGCGCCAATGCTGGCTGCCACTGCCCGCATTTCTCGCACGCGGTGATCCCAATGCTGTAGCTGACAACCTCCGGCGTCAACTTCACATCCCGCATCTTGCCCAGCAACGTCAGCGACTGCTGCCACTGCCTGCCGTTTCTGTACGCGCCGATCCTAGCATTGTAGCTGACTCACGTCGGGCTCAATTTCGTTTCCCACATCTCGCCAAGCAACGTCAAAGCCCACTGCCACTGCGAGCCTTTCCTGCATGCGATGATCCCGGTGTTGTAGGTGACTCGGACTGACCCATGGACTACGTCCAGGAAATCTGCACGAACTGGCATGTGATTGTATTGCGGACGTGCTGCCGAAAGTTTGAAATAATGACCTGGAGCTCGAACTTCACATTTCACGGCCTGTTTCCGATGTGCTGGCCGATCGCGGTTCCACCTTCCTCGGATTTCTTCCTGCCCATTTCCACTTTGCTCTCTGATCGCGTGTTCACCCTCGTCAAACTTCCTTTTGGTCCGTGTCGGATTCATTTTCCGATCGCGTTCCCCCCTCCTGAAATTTCCTTCCGGCCCGTGTCCGATGTAGTTCCCATGCCTCCTGTGTTGGGTTCTCGTTTTGAATAGAGCAGCGCTGTTTGCTCCGGCCTTTCTCTCTTCCCCCTCCTCCTGCCCCCCACCTACCCCTGCATCCTGCTTTATTCCTAACCCTCCCTCTGATTCGGTCCTCGTGTTGAATAGAGCACTGTTGTTTCCAACCCGTGCTCCTCCTCCTCCTCCCCTTCCTCCCCCTCGCCCTCCCTCTGGGCTGCGAATTGCACACAACTCTCACCCCTTTCGTGGGCTCCTGGGAGGTCCAACGGAGTGGTGTCATACGGGGACCCACACAAGACCTCGCCCTCCCCGCGGGGCTGCCACCTGCGCAACCGTCGTCACGTTCGTGGGCTCCTGGGAGGTCTGGCGGGTTGACGTCATACGGTGATCCAGACGAGACCTCGCCATTCCAGCGGGGCTGATACTGCGCAACGGTCCCCACGTTCGTGGGCGCCTGGGAGGTCCAGCGGAGTGGTGTCACGAGGGGACCCAGACGAGACCTCGCTCTTCCCGCAGGGCTGACACCTGCGAAACTGTTGCCGCTTTCGTGGGCCCCTGGGAGGTCCAGCGGGGTGGTCTTATATGGGGATCCAAAGGAAGCCTCACCGGAATTGCTTTCCAATCACTTGTCGGCGACAAGTGATCGGAAAGCAGTTCCGACCCAACAAGTTGTCGCCCCTCCCCGAAATTCCTTCCGACACGTTTCCGATTTGCTTTCCGATCGCGTATCGCCGCTCCTGGCTTGGATGCGTCGTGGGGTCTGGACCTCTGAGGGTCTCTCGGAGGATTCGGGGAGCCTATTAGAGGCGTCTGGGGGGCCTGCTGACTGGCCGTGGAGGAGGCTGGATCGGGGGAAACCATTCGGAATGTCTGCTCGGGATATCCCTCTTGGGCCCCATGTGGGGCCGTCCCGAGGGGCCTCTTGGACGAGTCGGGGGGCCTCTGGAGCAGTCTCGGGACCATCTCGGGCCGTATTGGGGACCTCTTGGGATCTCAAAAGCCTCTTCGGCAATCTTGGGCACTCTGAGGCCGACGGAAAAACCAACCGAAGCTCGATAGTTTCCGCTTCTGGAAGCCCTCTTGGGGGTTATCTTGGAGCTTTCTCGGGCATGCCTTTTCTTTCGACCCGCACATGAGGGAAGCTCACACGCGCGTACCCGCCGACAATGAAGATGTTCACATAACGCCGTAGGTTGGGAAACGCATTTGGTTCTGCAGTATTTTTGGTATGGGCGAAAAACTTCCAAAGACCTGCCCGAAATGAATTGCCTTCTGGCATAGAGTTCTCCTGCGCCGTCTTTAGGCGCATTGGGCAGTCCTGGAGCTCCTCTCTCTCTCTCTCTCTCTCTTGCGCCTGGACGGCGGCGCCCCTCGAGCGGGCCCTGGGAGGCGCAGCCGC